ACAACCGATTATGACTAGTAATCATCAGATGCATACAGATTAGAGATGCATGTGCCAACATCTCAGTGTTAGGAGCAAAAACAATGAGTCTTTCTGCAAGGAACAATATATTCTAAAATGAAATGGAGATCTTTTTGAAAGGTTAAAAAACTCAATTTAATGTCTTACATGCTTTGTACTGAGTACAATATTGTATAACTGTAATAATTCAACTGTAAACCTGAAAATTTACAGCTGATTTTGAAAAAGATGCATTTAACTCAGAAAATTGTTATTAAATGTGTCAATGCTCTTGTAATGAAAAAATGTCTAAGAAAATACTGAAAAGTACTTTTATTTATGCTGATCAATGAAGTGTTAATTTCCAGATTTATATACGTTTACTAGTTAGAATAATATGAAACGTTTTCTGCTGGCCAAATAGATGGCCAAATATTATTAACTTCATAGAGTTCAATCTGATCTTTTTCCTTTGTATAATTTTCTGAATTATTTTTAGACAATATAGCTGAGTATTCCACATCTGAATTCTGTATTTTATATGCACTGCAATCTATCTTCCAGGCTCTGAACTACAGGCAGATGCATGTCATCACTTGTACCATGCCTGGCCCCCTATATGAAGACATTTTATTCAACAATGACTTGAGGACAGGCTGACTGGGCATCCTGTGGGTTCTGGAAAACTTCAAGTAGCATAGCCAGTGGGAAGCACTGCAGTTTCATATACTAGAAGGCCTGCCATAGCTGTAATTGGTGGAAAATTTTACTAGGAAATCCTGGAATGAAATAGAGTGGAACTGAAAGGGCTAAGAGGACAATCACTGTACTGAATGACAGCAGATGTCATCTGTAAAGGATCTATGGTCAAAGTTCTAAAGGCTTTAAATGCTCTGTTTGAATTATAAATATTCATGTTCTGTAATACAAAATATATACACATTCAGTGTGTTTCTAGCTGTGAATCAATGGAATATTCTCTAAACCAAAAAAAAAAAAAAATTCTGGTGGGAAGCTATGGGGGACAGAGACAAGGGAGGGGTGTAAATTTAGTTAAGATGTATTATGCGAAATGCGCAAAAACACAATAAAATATTAAAATCAAAAAAGCAGCACTGATAAATTTTTTTCTTGAGTTGTAGAAAAAATGGTTTGTTTCTTATTTTGATTTTTTTATTTTCTAAGTGTTTAAAAATCCTTATTGATAAGATGGTTTTCATGAGAAGAGTAAACATATCCCTCAAAATATCATAATTCATAAATGTTAACTATGTTAATCCATGCTCCATACAGGAGTCTACTTTGG